GTTATTACATCTGAAGAAGGGGTCACTGTTATGTCTGAAAACAGAGCCTGTTGTGTTTGTGACAGGTTACTGTGCCTTTAAGAGTTTCAGTACTGAAGTATGGCAGGTGTCGTAAACTGTGATGTTCGGACAGTTCGGTAAAGTAATGAAACAAAACTACACGGTGTGATCATTGAGTCCTTGCAAACATAATAGTCACTTTGGCTGCAACAAAGTTTATCCCTGAGACTCCAGAAGTGTTTTGTAAACGTTCATCCCCTCAGTTGATTTGAAGTGCCAGATAACTGTTGGATTAAGCCTCACTGCCTTATGGTTTGAGGCATCAACAGAAATAGAGATGAGGTCAACATCCATGATGTGGTCCTTCAGACACTCCATAGTGTGAGGGGCAATTATATTGCACACAATTGCCTCAGCTTATAAGTGAATGTAGACATTTCTAAATAAGCCAGTTGATCGTAAGCTCTAGTTCTGTTTCACTACATTGTAGGCAAACTTTCCCTCTTGAGCTGATTGTTTCAGGGAACAGCCTTGACAATGACTGACAGCCATGACAGCGAACCATTATAATAAGCCTTTTTCAGAAAAGATCACCGGAGAAAATCCCGAGAATTGGGTTCAGACTTTCTGCGAAGATTGCCTTTTACATGAAAAATGCAGCGGGAGATTCTCAGGAAGAGACTCTCTGGAGCTTCAGGCAGGATATTGATTCTGCAGCAGAGATCTTGTTTACAGCACATCGTGTCAGTTGTAATGACCAAAAGCTCTCTTGACATCTTTGTTGGTGTCTTCTACGTGTATGGCTCCGCTTTTTCATCAGAAATATATATTTTTAATTATTAAATAGTTTTGTATTCATTACTCTCATGTCTAACCCGTTGCTCTCTGATCCCACCCCCCATTCAAGTGCTGAGTCTACGGTGGTGGATTGGAATCCCGGTGGTGGTGTCCCTCCTGTGTTGTGTTTTGCATGTCGGCTTGTTTTTGTGTCATTTTTAGTTGCTTCACACGTGGTGTTCCTGGGATTCCCTCTGTTTTGCACCATCTGGCACAATGAGGCTCAGCCCTGATTGGCTTCCCTGGATTTTCCTAGAGCAAGTGATCCTTTACCTTTTTAAAATAAGTTATTTTGTAATTAATAAATCTTGTATTCTTGAACTGTTGTCTCTGCCTCGGTTGCAAATAGATTATCTTAATACTAGATATACTCCCAGGGTGGCGTTGTCTGGCAAACTAAATTAAAAACCTTTACACTGCCCTAATTCACACATTACGCCCTTATGTTGCAACAGCCTTGACAATGATACATTTATTGATTGACACACATCAAAATCAGTGTTGAATACATACACATGGTGCTTGTGTTTTTTGTTTGATTTAGGTAATGGAAAGTGGGTCAGAACATGATAAACATCTATTTATGTAATGAGACAAGTCAAATCATATAATTGTTATTTTGATTGTGATGAAAACCGAGACAAAACCAGCACAATGGGTATGATGCCAGAGATAGAGAGCAGGGTTTGGAGGGAAAACATTATAAAATCTAAACGTAAAATGAAAAACTAGTGCTCTCAAAATGAAAGACCAACGTATTGAATGAAATTAGGAGAGAAATTCAAAATCTACTTAAAAAATAAAAATAAATAAAATAATGTCAGTGCAATAGAGGCAGTGGCCTCAGTGAATGTCACAGGCTGAGAAAACAACACATGATTGTGCTCATTCCTCATTTATTCATCTAACATTTGATGCTTACAATTCTGTACTATTGTATTGTTTCTTTATTGGTCCCATATAAATTGTAATTTTTCATACATATATTAGATCTATGATGCACACAAACACGTAATGTATGCTTGATAGACATTCATATTTAATGGAACTGAGCTAATTGTTCCAAACTACCTTAATAATTATTGGTGCACTTTCAGGTTTGCACCTATAAGTCTATAAATTGTACACCTGGCAAAGTACAATTAAAAGACTATCATTGTCAGATCTCTTTATTTCAGAAGTCTCACCAGGTCAAATTTCCACCATAATTTTTCTGAAGCTTGATTCATTGGTCCAGTTCACTCCTCATGTGACTTCTGCCATCCACAGCAAGCACTTCTAGCTAGCTCTGTAAGTGAATAACTTCAGTGACAGCAATCAAGTCGAAAATGAAAATAAACAAAACATCAACACAGGCACTATGCTATACTATGGAAGAGGATTAGGGCCACTGTGGAAAAAAAATTGAGTTATGACTTTTTTCTCAGAATTCTGACTTTTTTCTCAGAATTTGACTTTTTTCTCAGAATTTGACTTTAATCTCAGAATTCTGAGAAAAAAAAAGTCAATCAAGCTAAGACCTTCTATGTTCAATACCCTGTTTTATGTTGTGCCCTTTTTATTTTTGACTCTTGAATCTTGAAAACCACAAAGAGAGAAACAAACAGACGCAACACCACCACACATCACACCAGACCATAACACATTGCACTGGCTTTTAAAGATGGACCCTAAAATTGTATTACTTGACTATAAGGTACCAAATGGCCTCAGACATTCTTTGCACGCTTTGAAGCACAAAACAACACACGCCCATAGAAGACCCCACCGCCTCCTCACGATCAGACTATGTGCCTGTCTGCCGCCAGCGTACAGAGGACACTCTCCACTATCAACACTCGTAAGGCCACAGGTCCAGACAACATCCCTAGTCTTGTGCTGAAGAACTGTGCAGAGGAGTGCAAGGATGTCTTCACAGACGTCTTTAACACTTCTCTAAGGCAAGCTGTGGTTCCATCGTGTTTCAAGGCCGCCACCATCATACCTGTGACAAAGAAATCTGCTCCATCCTGCTTCAATGACTACTGTCCTGTGGCACTGACACCCATCATCATGAAGTGCTTCGAACAGCTAGTCATGTCACACATCAGATCCATCCTCCCCCCCACCCTGGACCCCTTCCAGTTTGCATACCGAGCCAAAAGATCCACAGAGGATGCAATCTGCTCTGCCCTCCACCCAGCCCTCACCCACCTGGACAGAAATGACTAATACGTGAGAATGCTGTTCATAGACTTCAGTTCAGCATTCAACACCATAATCCCACAACACCTCATCTGCAAACTGGATAAACTGGGGCTCAGCACCCCCCTCTGCAACTGGCTGCTGGACTTCCTCACTCAGAGGCCACAAGCAGTACGTGTCGGCAACAACACCTCGAGCAGCATCACCCTGAACACAGGGGCACCCCAAGGCTGTGTGCTCAGCCCCCTGCTCTTCACCCTGCTGACACACGACTGCACAACATCCTACAGCACCAACCACATAGTGAAGTTTGCGGACGACACAACTCTGTTGGGTCTCATCAACAAGGGCGATGAGACTCACTACAGGAAGGAGGTCAAACTTCTGACCACGTGGTGCAGAAACAACAATCTCCTACTGAATGTCAGCAAGACCAAGGTGATTGTTGTCAACTTCCAGAGAGGCCACACCCAACACCTGCCACTGACCATCGATGGTGCTGCTGTGGAGAGAATGAGCAGCACTAAATTCCTGGGGGTGCAGATCAGTGAGGACCTCTCCTGGACCACCAACACCGCATCACTGGTGAAGAAAGCCCAGTGGCGCCTCTACTTCCTGCGCAAACTGAAGCGAGCGAGTGCACCACAACCCATCATGTGCACATTCTACGGGGGCACCGTTGAGAGCAATACAATGGGCATCTGCGAACTGCAAACTGAAATTGACAATAAAGCTGAGTTTGACTTTGACATGTTTACATCTCTGTTTACCTTTCATGATGGCTCAGGTCATGTGGGACAGATTTAGTCAGTGTTCGCAATCAACACTAAGCAAAGTGTAGAAGCTTAACATTTCTGTGCTCCCACATTGGAACAAGCTTCTATACCTATATTCTTTTCTCTAATTTTCTTTTAAATACAATTTGAATGGCATCTATTATTTTAATGTAAAGCCCTTTAAAGTGCCTTGTTTCTGAATGAAACAAGGCACTTTGCCTTACCAAATGACCACAAAGATTGTTGTTTATGGTGGCTTTGTGTGTATATCAGTGTGGAGGTCTTATGTAGGATGGGGGGGTCCATTGTCTTATAATACATCATTGCTTGGAACCATATGAGCAGCTGAATATAATGGATGGATAAACAAACTAAAAGATATATGTGTTGTTTGAAGTTTCCTTCTCTCGTTTTCTCTCGAGCTGAAGAAGTAGATATTCAAACTAACAGCAATGCTAAATTGCCAATTACCTGGAAGTAAAACCAAATAATATTGACACAAAAGGAAAGGAGCGTGAAAAGTGCCTGGGAGCTTTGTGAAGTGTGGGGATAATATCCCTGCTGAAATCATTAAGGCCTGTACTACTGTTGGTAAATGTTAGCCTTTTATTCAAACTGGTAATAGTTAACAGTGATGGCAAATGCTGGGAATGAAATGGGAATCCCTCTGTTTGTTTATCAGACTAAAAGTCAGATGTCTCAAGCTGTGCTGCTTCAATCTTACCATTCTTTTAAAAACGTGCATGGACATAACGTCAACTTTACTACTTGACACTGCCTGGTGGCATTTTATTAGTTGAATTATATTTTAGTAAAATCTGAACCTGCAAAGTAACTTTAATTTGAACTGTGCAATAAGTGGAGATAAGTAGAACTCGCACTGTTGGTTGGTGAAGTTGAACAAAGAGAACGACATGATATGAAATGGAAACGCTCAGTTACTTTCAACTGCCGTTAGTTCTATTATGTGACCAGCAGGTGTCGCTCTCCATCAGGCAGCGCGCCGCATGTGAGAGTTCACACAAACACATGAAATCAGCGGCGAGCAGAGTTTAAAATGAAGAAATGTGAAGGTCATACAGTGTCACTGGTGCCCCCATAGCTGAGGGTCTATTGATAGTTTGTTAACCACCAGAGCGCGGATGTCAGTGTTCGTCTTTCCCACTGCACTGTGAACGCCGCATACAGTGGATCTCGCGAGAAGAGACTTCAGCAGCCAGTCCAGTACGTGGCCTGACAGCTGGGAGTGTTTGCTGTGGCTTGTCCGCTGGCAGGTTGAGGCCACAGGCTGTGCGTGATCGAGACCCGCATGCACCAGGACGCCTGATACCCGCTGTAAATCTCCTCCACGTCTTCGAATCGTGTCACGTCCACTCTGTCAGCGTGGCATGGCGGAGAGCGGGTCGTCGGTTGCATTCTCCGGCTCTCTGACGAGCTCCACTCTTCCTCCGCCGCGGACCCGCATCTTCAAAATCATCGTGATCGGGGACTCGGGGGTCGGAAAGACGTGCCTCACCTATCGCTTCTGTGCCGGCAAGTTCCCCGAGAAGACCGAGGCCACGATCGGGGTGGACTTCAGGGAGAGGCTGGTGGAGATTGATGGCGAGAAAATCAAGGTGTGCAAAACACAACACTCTCTAAAACCTGTGTGTGTTCCTGTTCTTATATCTTTGTGAGGAGCATTTTAACCATAGACCCTACATAGTGGGCACATTTCCCCTGTCCTCACTTTTTCAAAGTCCCTTTGAGGGTTAACACTTAGTTTTAGGGTCATGGTATGATAGTAAATGGTCAATGTTTGTTTTCGTTTTTAAATGTAGATCATTTGAGTGGAAGTGTCTGTGCTTTTTACAATTTGATTTGAATCGTTGAAATACGTTAAAAAACAACAACAAGCTGCAGTGTGTTGTGTATCTGTATGTTGTGTGTCTGTGTAATGTATTTGAGATTATTTAGGCCAACAGTGGAGCTCTAGCACAGGGTGTGGTGGCCCTCTGCTTGTATGTGTTTTGTATTGTTGTCTCCATCTCTAGGCCTTCCCTAGGCTGACAGGGATCACTTGGGCCAGATGCACCCAGCTACTATAAAAGCACACAAAGTGTCCCCCCCTCATGTCTCATATTTCCTTTCTACTCTAGTTTTCTACCAGCACCCACACACTACCCCTCTCATACATCGTATGCAACACCAATACCACAGATTTCTACAGCTTGTTCCCTCTGATTGGTTCATTTTAAAATGCAAGATGTAACAACAGGAACAAGCTGCATCAAGCTTTGGTGCACACACAACACTTCTTAGTAGCACAATCAATTGCTGGTTTGGGTCTTCTATTGGGATTTTATATTTCCTTATTGTCTTCTACAGATCCAGCTGTGGGACACTGCAGGACAAGAGCGCTTCAGGAAGTCCATGGTGCAGCACTACTATCGCAATGTGCATGCTGTTGTCTTCGTCTATGATGTCACCAACGCTGCTAGCTTCCGCAGCCTCCCTGCCTGGATTGAGGAGTGCAAGCAGCACGCGCTGGGCACGGAGGTACCCAGGATCTTAGTTGGAAACAAGTGCGACCTCCAAGACTCCATCCAAGTGAGCACAGATGTGGCGCAGCAGTTCGCAGATGCCCATTCCATGCCACTATTCGAGACATCTGCAAAAAGCCCTAACAGCCAAGGAGAAGGAAGCTGTGGCAGTGGAAACAGTGACCACGTTGAGGCTATTTTTATGACGGTGGCCCACAAACTAAAGTCTCAAAAGCCTCTAGTGTTGAGCCAGCCCCCTGGGGTTTCAGGAGGCACCATCAACCTGAGCAGGGGGATGAGTGATGGGGGAGATGCGAACAGGAGCTGGACTTGCAGCAGCTGCTGAAGAAGAAGACTGGAGGGAAAGAGGGATATAACTTTAGCTTCAGACTGAACACGGCCACTGAAACTGAAGATAAAGTGAGCTGAGGAAACAGTGGTGGTCTAGAAAGATTGAGTGGATCCAGCCAAATGACTTCAAAATCAGAACAACAGAAACGATGTGTTCATTTGAAAACAATACATTTTTCATGTGCTTGTGCTTGATATTGCAAATGACCTTTAAAGGGTTTGGGGCAATGTGTTTGCTGCTTTGGGATGTTGGTTTATGGAAATTATTGTGAACACAAAGTCAGAACCTGAGTCAGTTATCCTGAGATAGTCATTTTTAAAGTCTCAAGTAAGTTACCTTGTTTTGTGGCAACATAAAACCCAGAAGCACTGTGGCATTCATATCGTTTTTTATTATTTGGGGGGGGGGGGCTTTTCTTAAAATGTAAAATCTGAGCTTTGAGCTCTTGTGAGAACAATGACTCAAACAACTTTGATTTTTACGAGTGTAGACCAGTCCAGATACAATCTGGATCGCCTCATGTCATGAGAATGTAAAGTGTAGCAGCTAATGAGAATTACTGGTGAGGATATAAAATAATTTTACGGACAAATGACTTGAATATAATTTGTTCATGCAGATAAAATAATCCAACACATAACATCCTACAACCTGTGATGCTGTGTAGGCCTTAATCTGTGGCACTGCAGTACTGACTGCACCATATGGAGAAGAATTGGGCAATGCCTTCTTTGTTATATTGCCGATATATACAGTACATGATACTCTTAGCACTGGCGACCAGTCAGGGTGTACCCCACTTCTCAGCCAACATCATCTGGGATTGGCTCCATCTCCCCCTCCACCCTCCAAGTATAAGCAGTATAGATATTAGAAGGATGATATTCTTTTAATTTTCATTAAAGGTGCCCTGTTGAATGTTGCTTAAAAAAAAGTTCAAGTCCAGTGCTTTTCATCATGTTATCATGTTCATTATTGAACCCTCTTAGACACATTGAATCCTGTTCCATCTTTAAAAACCATCTGAAATTGATCGTTCTGCATATGAAGACAGACGCTGTTATCAAACAACAGAGGGGACATGGATTCAGATCTACAGTAAATCTGCTCATTATGGTGTTTAGACCCAGAACATGACTGTGACTAAGGGTGGCATTTCATTCTGCTGTTAGCATCCACACTATTTATAGATACTCCTTTGAGGGGCTTGAGTTCCTCTTCAGCATGGTACAGCAACTTCTGAGGCTGTTTAAAGCCTTTGTTGCTGTGTGCTTCTCAACTGTTTTGTTTATCATCCGCTGTGAGATGTGTTTTCATCGAGAAAACACTTCAGACATCTGTCAGGTCAATACAACTCAGGGGCTGCTTATAAACTGTTAATCACTGATTTTGGTGTGTTTGTGCCCAGCTCAGACTTTTCTGTTACAGCTGATCATTAACTGTACTAACACTAACCTCATTAACATCAACTGTTACTGTAGCTGACTGTATAAAGTCCAGTGCTGAGGGTTTATAGCACGCAGTTGCTTCTTGCACAAATTCAACACGTAGAGACAAAATAGGTTGCAATGTTTCATAGTGTTAAACAATTGGAGGTGTTGGATAAAACCTAAAAATAATAATAAAAATGGCATTTCTACAGTGTAATAAACTGTAATCTTAAATTCTGTATATATTGACCCTATGTCTTTTAGTGGAAGGGAATAATTAGAATATTTTTTTCACAAGTGTTGGAAAACACTGTTTGTCTGCTGGAAATCTACTACATAGGACAATCGTGATTTATGCCCATGATATAAGGCATAACCATTTAGATGTCAGGCTATCCTGAGAAAGTTACTTTTAACAGCATCACCGACAAATAAGAAAGTAGTGAGCTTGTTACAGCCACACATCACCAAAGTCGATTGGAAGAAAACCCTTGCATTTTGCCCATGTAACCAATTCATGTGCTTCACCTTATAAGAATTGAAGGTAGTAAGTGGTTTGCAGGTAAATTTTAGATGTGGGAAGAAGAGAATATGGTAAAGGATCACTATGTGGCATTGGTAGTTGCCCTCAGTCAAACTATTAGTATCAATACTGGTAGAGAAAAGACACATTGGATCCCTAGTCACCTCAAGCCAATCAGTATGGCAACATAAAGCACCATAATCTACAGAGCCTATAGAGAACTTCCAGCTGAATCTGCAGGTCCCCTCGGCTTCACTGAGTTTTATAGTGAGTCTATAGTGTCTGGACCAAAACTTGATTGCTCTGGTTCGCTGTCATTTCCCTAGCTGTGTTACGGCCACAACAGCAGCTGTGTACAGAGATAGAGCCGGCAGACACAGTAAAGTAGCAGCTGTTGAACATGGTGGAGCATTAAGCAGTAAAAGAAAGGTTCCCTCAGGTGAACACTGGACTTTAGAGTCATCAGATGGACACAAACACCACAAATTGTTTGACCACAAATTCAACTTACCAACTTCAAAGCTGACAATCTAACAGCTTCGTTTTTACTGCCTTCAAGTAATGGTCTGTATTTATATAATGTGTTTCTAGGCATACTTTTTTACAATGCAGCCATTAATAACAAATACTGCTTATGCATGTCTCAAAAACAAAATCTCAGTTACAGAATAGTGTTTATTCACAAAGTGACCAATTTGTCTCCAACAGTGAACAAACTATTGAAGACAAAAAAGGAATACATTTGCAATGGATATGTTTTGTGCAACCTTGCAATAAACAACCCCAACAATTAATACTGTAGTCTTTTCTGTTTTAAAGTAGTTACTGTAAGTCAGTAGTTGCAAAAAGTCAAAAACTTCAGTCAGGTTTTATTTATTAAATACACATACATCTTCAAATTTAGAACAAAAATATCAGTCACATATACAGGTATTTCATATAGGCTTTGGCAAGGTTTAAATGGAATCTGGTCATAGAGCAAATAAAGACGGTGCCACAGTTTTAAGTGCTTGGTCTTATCAAGAGCTCAGGTTATTTAAAAGTCATTTTATAACGTATAATGTTTAAAACTGCTGACTGCTTCAGCAGAGTTGAGATTTCTCCCCTCAGTGCATCCATAAGTAAGGCACATCTTAAATCACCGGAATAAAGAGAGTGCAGACAGGATTTGTGTCAGGTCAGTCTGCTGTATGGAGGTAGTTTGGAGGGTCCCTCCTCTTCCTCAGCAGTGTACTGCTCAGTGGACTGAGGTGGAGAGTTGAAGAGCCTGTCATCACCTCCTGCTGCACATAGAGGAGAACTACATCACAGACTGACAGAAGCAATTGACAAACGATTGCAGCAAAGATGGCTTCCAATCAAATTACCTTGCCAGGTACAAACCATCTCACTGTCCCCAGGGTCGCACTGAGGAACCAGGGTCTCCTACAACATGCAGACACACAAATTGTACATAAAGGTCAGTTGGATTAAAAACGTCACATCCTTAAATATCCTTATAGTCACTCATATCAACAAAAATCATTGTTCTCAGAGTAGAACTTCTTTGGGAGGGAGGGATCTGTGGTATCCTGTACTTGGATTACAAACAAATCAACATTTCAAGTGAAAAGTGCAGCTGCTGATGCAGCTCAGGAGTAAAATAAACAGTTCATGCTGTGATATGTTTAGTTTTTGGCACATGCTACAATAATGTAACAAATGCCAATCCTAAATGAGCTGTATTTTGAAGTCTAACGAATAGTTCAGGGGAAAACTGTTGAGTTATTTTAAGGATCAACCATCTCGTGTCATGCAAAACCTTTATGAACATGCATCCAGAAGTTCAGTGACAGTAATTACCACGTGAACTACAGTAGTACAGTATTATTGATCAGGATGATAATGAGCATCGCCGATCTAACACGCAGTGTCAGGTGGCAAAACAGCAATAGAGACAAAGAGAGAGAGAGAGAGACTATGGGAGGGGAAAAGAAACACACAGTTAGCAACATGTAAAATAAATAAATGTTTGGGCAGAGAGACAGAAAGAAGGGGAGAACTGCTCAGTGCATGATGGGAGTCCCCCATGCTGCTATAGGTCTAGACTGACCTATAGCAGCATAATTTAGGGATGGCTCAGGACTCACCTGATCCAGAAGTAACTATAGGCTTTATCAAAAAGGACATTTTAAGTTTAACTTTAAATGCAGAGATGGTGTCTGTCTCCTGAACCCAGAGTGGGAGCTGGTTCCACAGGAGAGGAGCCTGGTAGCTGAATGCTCTACCTCCTGTTCTACTCTTACAGACTCTTGGAACCACAAGAGAGCCTGCGTTTAAGGAACGAAGTGATCTATTTGGATAAAATGGTGTTATGAGCTCTTTGATATATGAAGGGGCTTGATTGTTAAGGGCTTTATATTTGAGGAGCAGGATCTTGAATTCTACTCTGAATTTTACAAGGAGCCAATGTAGAGAAACTAAGACAGGAGTAATGTGATCTCTCCTTCTAGTTCCTGTCAGCACTCGTGCTGCAGCATTTTGGACCAACTGGAGACTTTTCACAGACTTCCTGGGACATCCTGATAATAAAGAGTTACAGTAATCTAGTCTAGAGGTAACAAATGCATGGACTAGTTTCTCAGCATCCTTCTGAGACAGGATGTTTCTAATATTGTGCAGGTGGAAGAAAGCTGTTCTAGAGACTTGTTTTATGTGTTGGTCAAATGACATGTCCTGGTCGCACATAACTCCAAGGTTCCTCACAGTTGAGCTGGAGGCCAAACTAACACCATCCAAGGTGACTATCTGGTCAGACAGTGATTCTCTGAGATGTTTAGGGCCAATTACAGCAACCTCAGTTTTGTCTGAATTTAGAACTAAGAAGTTTTGGGTCATCCAGGCCTTGATGTTCTTGAGACATTCCTGAAGTTGAACTAAGTGATCAGATTCATCAGGCTTCATAGATATGTACAGCTGGGTGTTGTCTGCGTAACAATGGAAGTGTATGTGGTGCTTTCTCATGATGTTGCCTAAAGGGAGCATACAGTAGAGTCCTGATATTTAGTTTAGTACATAATCTGACTTGTATTGAAGGAAATGTAGGAGATAAACCAGCAGCTCCGCCGCCAGTAAAGGACACACTGCCGTGTGAACAGACAACCGACACACAGCTGATATGCGGAGCAACGGCAGCCAGTGAGTCCAGGGAGCCACGGAGATCGACGGTGAAGACTTCGTGATCGATCGACGGGATGGCAAATTTAATCCCTACATGTTGTTCCAGTCTCTGTGACAGAATCTTATGATCTATGCTGTCAATTAAGGCCCGCGGGACACTTCCAGCCTGTGGTACAATTATATCCGGCCTGCAATAAAAAACATCATATGTCTATCTTAACTGGCCCGCCAGTAAATAGGACACACACTTTATTTTGTGAAATAAAAATGTATGTATAATGAAGGGTCACTAACAGAAGTGGTTGTTGTTGTTGTGAGCAAGATTTGACTTGATGTACAAGAATAAACGGTCATGTCGTCCTGGTTCAAGTCCACATTGTTCAGTTCTTATTTCACTATCTTCACTAATCATAAAAAATTCTACCTGTACATCTGCCTTCTTCCTAAATTGCCAGCTCCATTTACACACATGCAGATGAGAGACTGACAGATGCAGCAAAAGTAATAATGAGACATGTCAGCAGGTATAATTTAAGATTCTTTTCAATAACATTCATTTGGATTATGTTGTTCCCTACCAGTCCAGTTCTGGCATCATAGCAGCCACAGCAGGGAAGACTGCGACAGCCCACGTAGGCAATGAGAGAGGAGAGAGTCAGGCTGATGGTGCAGGTCAGCAGTATGGTGGCATTGGCCCCCTTCACCATCCGATGAAGCACAAAAGTCTGAAGAGACACATAAAGAATGTCAATGCAGCAGATCATGTTTTAGAAAATAACCTCAAAACCTGAACTTACAGGTCAGTTGCTGTTGCACTGCTCACACAGTTAGCAAATCTAAATTTTGACTAATGAAATTGAAATTCTTTTTTAAAATTTGTACAGCAATGTACGACATAAAAAATATTGCATTAATTAATTTCACTCCCCGAACCTAAACCCAGGAACAACATATATATTTCCTAAACTACTATTACAACCTCATGAACATGGCATGTTACTGACAAGAAACAGCATGAAAAGCACAGGTATAACCAACAACATTTGCGATGCCTTTGTTCCATTAACTTTAATCAATGTTTAGGGTTGGGTCAATGGAAAACGCCATCAATCACCCCCCCTAAAAATGTGCGGCATGACAGATCTTAATTAAATTTGGCATGCTTGTCACACGACAACCTGTCATCATCTTTTCTTCGTCAGCGCAAACTACAGGTCTGAATGCACTGGAGCCCATATGGAACACGTACTCCTACTACTTTGTTATTTGTCCTTAATCTCTCTGCTTTTCTCTCCCCATTTCACAGCCAGTTTTCTGTTGCTCTCCATCATGTGGGGTGACACTGCATTGCCATTGATTGAAGTAAAAAGTAGGAGTGCTTGATTTGATGCAGCTGAAGTCTCTTATTAAAGCACTTTTCTGAAGTGAGAAATATTTGTTGAATTTGATATGGTACAAATAATAGAATTTTAGGATACATTTACAAAAAATGTTCTTACATGAGGTCCATTAGTGGTAAATATTTCAAAAAGTCAATTTCAAAAATATTTTTAATTCAAGTAAAAGGCTCTCCGATTTAAGTACGTCTTAAGAACAAATCAATGAATCAGCCCACCGAAGAGCCATGGCTTTGACTGCAAATGCTCTCTCCCCCATCGTCTACACGCTTCAAAAAATATTGGGTATCATTCAGAGGAATTTGTTTGTCGTGATGTATCTATGTGTGATGGTTACCACTTGAGGACTGTCATGGTGGTGAAAGACGTCTTCATCCTCCTCTCCGTAAGTTAGTGTCAGACAGGCATACCCAGAAATAAACAGCACAGCCACACAGGAGAGTCCTGCTGCTGCCACCATCACACTCACCTGCAGAGACAGGAGGACATGTTCAACCAACTGCTAAAATACTGCGCAGAACCCTCAGACTCCCAGGAAGGAGGAAACACGCTTCAGAAAGACATACCACCCCATGTCCCATGTTTCAATTTTATAGGGTGAATTTGGGTAATCTGGGACATGTTTTGCACTTTGTATATATATATATATATATATATATATATATATATATATATATCATACCTTTCTGTAATCCTTAGTATATTTTCTAACCACACCAGTATAAATAATGGAGAGATCTTACTCAGAGAAGACACAATACAGCTTTTAGGGTTCTTTGTGCAAAAGAATTCTGCCACAATTGATAATCTGGGACAGGTCACTTTTAAATGTTACATGATATTTCCTTGTGTACTGTTTTTTGTTGTTTGTTACACAATGTACTGTTCTGCAGCTGCTGTAGCACTTTGGCCCAAGAACATTTCTCCCCTGGTAACAATAAAGTATATTTGACTGATCTGATTTGGTAATCTGGTACACTTGGCCTCATCTGTGGCTGAGGGGGTAGAGTGGTCGTCCTCTAACCAGGTCAGTGGTTCAATCCCAGTCTTCCCTTTTCCTTTTCCTGGGGAAGATATTGAACCCCAAATTTCCCCTTCTCATAGAGAAAAGAGCACAAGCTTCGCACTGTGTGAATGGGTGAATGTAAAACTGTACTGTAAATCAAGGATTCATACGAGGTTAGGGTGGGCGGTGGAAGGAAAAGTGGATCTGGTGTGTTAATGGAACGCTATGCACTGGTCCGTGCACACCACTAATGAGATAACACTTCCATAGGATCGGATAACTCAAACATCTTGGTGGCATAAGAATTTTGGAGTTAAGAAATACAAGTATTCTCAGATACAGATACTTACCAAAACGGAATTTTTCCTTTGAGAAGCAAACAGCGCCAAAACACCTGGAGAGGCCATGATCTGAAAGGCAGCGAAGCTTCAAGAGTAAACGAACAGTCAGGCAGCGTGAGCGACACTCAGAGGATTAACGCGAGTGACGCCTGGAGAACAACAAACATTCAATGTGTGTCACAGTACGTGCCAAGAAACGTGCCACCAGCAAAACAACGCACGTAGCAGCCGCAGGAGAAAGTTTCTAACAAAGGGTCGGGATCTCACCAGTCCTCCCCACACCGGCGTCCTGGTGCCACTCAGCACAGTGTCCTTGCGGAAAACAGCGTCCATAAAGCCGCAGACTATACAGAGACCCGCACAAGCCACCTGGAGGATACCGAGGCCGAGCACGCTCTTCTGGTTCAAATTAAAGTACCTGTACCGGTCCATCTCCGGGTTTTCTAGCCTATTAATACTCCGCACTCCCCGGCCCGAGCTAACTCTGACCGCGGGGATTTGTGTTGCACTTCCTACCTGTAGTTAACGTCACCACCGGCCCACTTGACTTTCTAAGACAAACTTCAGTGTAACATTGCGCTCGCCGTGGGTTTGTGTCCGCTCGGGGTTAAATACGGTGCCGGGATTGACAGCTATGTGCAAAATAACATGTAGTTGTTTATTCCAGTGTCTGTGGCTGTCTGTGGCTGTCTGTGGCGCTCCAGCTGCTCCACCGCTCCAGTTTATCATTAACCTGCTGCTGAGGGCTGCAGGGGCCCAACACCAGGGACTTTGTTTCCCACAGTGTAGACTCCCAGGCTGCTGGCCCCGCCCCCTTCTCCTGATGCGAGTCAAAGAATCGTGATACATGTCAAAGTTGTACTACACTGCACACATAGGACATGTTTTCATGTGAATCCATTAAAACCATTCTCAGATTTCATTTAACGATGGTTATAATCAATATTGGCCACATTCAATGTGGTTCCCCGTTGTATCTCTGGGTGTATGAAACATAAATATATGAAATATAATAGCTAATAAGGTTTTAGCATTACTTAAAGGACCAGTGTGTAAGATTTAGGAGAAGGGAACTATTGGCATAAATTTAATGTAAAATAATCCTCATGATGTTTTCACTAGCTCATTTCATCTAAATTGTATGAATTGTAGTTTTCTTTACCCCAGAAAAGGTCCTTTATATTTAAATACTTTATATTCACATCGAGGGGACCCTTTCTACGGAGGCCTCCATGTTTTTTACATTAGTCCAGACTGGACAAACTAAACACCTTTTGAGTTTTTATGACAACTGAATCTACCACAGTTTTTTTTCATGTTTGGAAGGAGAGGGTGAGGTGAGGGGTGTTCAGCTGCAACTGCAACATGCAATTTCAACATTAGATATCACAAAACACTGATCTTTAATACATTTGCATTAAAAGCATTCTCTAGCATATTCTTCCTCAGTCAGCACTTCATTCTGATCCTAAAATGTCATATTTGCAAATTAAAGATCACCACCCATGAAATAGTATTAGTACTTACACTTATACTGCTACTTTTTTCAAATCACACCTAAGTCTTTGGTCCTTAACCCTATATTTAAAATATCAATCAATCACATTTTATTTGTATAGCCCATATTCACAAATCACAATTTGTCTCATAGGGCTTTAACAAAGCTGTGACATCCTCTGCCCTTAACCCTCAACAAGAGTGAGGAAAAACTACCAAAAACCCTTTTAACAGGGACAATAAATAACGTAGAAACCTCAGAGAGAGCCACATGTGAGGAATCCCTCTCCGAGGACAGACAGAAGTGCAATAGATGCCACATGCAACTACTGATAGCAAAATGAATAACACTTAAATATATAAATACTACAGTATTCCTATTGCAGTAATGTAAAAATACAGAAAAATTAGTATTGCACTCAGTAGAAGGCATTTCACAATCAAGGCCCACACTCCCATTCAATTAAAATAAACCTTGTAGCTACATTGGTGGTATAGGTTTCTAGCCCTATTTGTTTGTTTCCATATGGTGGCTGAAAAAAGTATACAACCTTATCAATTGACTAGATCCAGATTTTTATTCAGACCTGCACAAAATTATTAATACTAATATTTCTGAATATTTTCATCAAGATTGGCATAAGGGAGGTTAAGTCTTCACAGTCCATTTGCTTGTTGGTTTGTATGCTTATTTGTTTGTATGCAAATACCCCCCCGGAATATTTGACTGATTTCTACAAGAGTTTGCAATTTAATGCAGCTTATTTGATTTTAAGGGGACCATTTGGCCTTGGCGATAGAATGCACAGACAAAAACCTAACCTCCAAACAGATGAAAACCTAACCTCCTTTGTGGAGGTTTGTATTGTCATTATATAAAAAATGAGGTATGCAGATACATTTTCTTTATCTCTGACTTTATTTTTGAAGGGTCTGAACACAGACAATTGGGTTAGAAAAGTGAAATAGGCCAACATAGAGTATATAATGTAGTACTGCCAGATAATACAATACATTACCAATTTCAGATATTATAAATAGTTACCGTAATATATACTGTATATAACATAAGTGTTGTGTAAGCCTAAGTGTATATACCTTCAAAGTGACACTTTTAATTTTTTGTGCAAATGTTTTACACACTTTAAAAAGAAAAACCTGAATCAAATCAACATTTGGTGTGACCACCATTTGTCTTTACACCAACATCCAGGACTCCTTATCCTTTTGACCTCTGAACGTGGTTCTGTATGACGGTTTGGGCTTGTTGCGATGCTGTCCAATGAATCTGACAACATCAAACACCTCCTGATGGGACTGATGGCAGAGAAAAATTTACACCTGAAGTGTCTAAAACTTTTGCACAGTTTTGTCTGCATGGAACCAGCTGAATAAATTCAAATGTGTAAGCTTAACAGTTTAAACAGTTATGATAAATATTATGTCATACAAACAGTGTTGTTAATTTCTACACCTCAAGGGGAGCCCTGTTAACTGCAGCTGCTGCGTAAAACTATTGGCATGGAGTTATGTGAAGAAAACTGAATGAAATTAATTTGTCAGCACCAATCGGCAGGTAAATCCTTCCTATATGTGTAATATGTGATGAAGAGTACAGTGAAACAAATGGGCATATCAGCACATCCAGCTACTGACATGTCTCATAACATTTGGTTTCTTGCATAGTTCTTGTGTTGCCCTGGACCTCCAAGGCCTCCAATCATACCGAATTGCTAAAGCAGTATTCCACATGAATACCACATACAGGAGCATAATATATTGTCAAAATATCTATGAGCTGCACAGGATATCAAGTGTGATAAATCTCCAGGAGTATTGTAAGGTTTTAGCACAGGTAGAGGTTATTTTATTTTCTAGAGGTATTCGTCTGCATTCTCATTGGCCAGTGGCAGCAGCCTGTCTCTGCTGAAACACTTCCAATTGCTGCTTGTACCAATCAGGAGCCTCTGGACCATTCGTCCCAGTCAGCCCATGATCATAGCCATAAGCTACAGTTAACTCCTCCTCCTTCTGCACGGCCCTCAATGTTCGGATGCACTTGATTGGCCCAAAACGAGGATGGACAAACCTGTACAGAAGACATAACAAATCATCATGCAGATCCAACTTAGAAATAATAATAGTTTCCCAAAAAATTATCACACCTGGATTCAAATAATATATACAGTATATGTATGTAGATTGTTGAGGGAAGAGGGGTCCCCTTATGAAACCACATTTAAATTGAGTAATTCTGGATTTTAATTTTGATCTGCACCAAATTGCACACACTCAACTTCCCAAAAGTTTAAGATTTATGACTTTATGACTGATGTAGAGGTGGTTCTATCATGCCAATGATAAAGAAACTGGATGCTGTTTTGCAGATGCTTGTTGATACACTAGATGGTTGCAGCCAAACAACAATACCACTTAAAGTAAGGTAAAGTTATTTACAAAGTATTGAGGTGCTAAAAGGATGAGATTTTCTATAAGCATTTTAATACTTGATTTTATAAATCTATTAAAAGAAGAGTGCAAAACTACATAACTTGACTTTAAATTGTGTGGTTTCAGTTTACATACATTCTCATACATTTCCAGATTCTTACAGTATGAGGTCACCGTGACCTGACCACTGAAATATACTCAAAAGGGACAAATCAAATTTGAAGAAATGGCAAACTTGATTTTTCATTCTCAAGAGGCTAAAAACATGTTTTGAGAGGCTTCCCTGACCTTGACCTTTGACCACCCAAATCTAATCAGTTTATACGCAAGTTTTCAGACATGCAGTGAAATTAATTTAAAATCTGCTGAAATTTACCAGATGTGAAAATAAAAGTGTCTGAGTCACAGGCTCTGGACAATCTACCCTTTTTTCCTGCCAGCACCTTATTTAAAATTTAAAAAAAAATACAAATGAGGCCATGACAGAATACAGTAGGATATTGTCCAAGGGATTTAACTTGAGCAGGTGATGATGTTTCTGCAAATAAAGAACACCGAAGAAGATATCAATTTGGAAAAATAACAAGATCCGAGAGCTTTCTGCAATAAGTGCCAAAGCTGGTGTCGATGTGCTGTAAACAAAAACACGTGATCTCTCCAATGAAATTCATACTCCGTATTCTTGCCAGCATGCTCTGGCCAGACACCACCTCTCTGACTGCTAGGGAGATTTTCCAGTTGATGTGAAAACGTCTGATTCTGAGAATCTCCTGCTGTGTTCTTCATACGTGAAGACCAAAGTCTGCACAATGTCTACACCCCATTGTCTGGACATTTTCCAGAGTTCATTTCGACAGCTTGTGTGAACATTTGAGCAAACTTTGAAAGGATTCTCTCAAAGGGCTGCTTTTGACAGTCATTTTTTTCTTAAAATTTAACTGAATTTGCTATATTATCATTCACTTGTGTGACATTTCTAAGTTTGAATGATTTACTTAACTGGTACTTGTAAGATTGTGTCATAACTTTTCAAAATAAAAGCAGTTTTAGCTCAATATAAATCATCACAGCAACATAATGAACATTGTGCTTTTAATTTGTACTTGCTAAAGAGGAAGTGATTGTATGGATGTTGTTGCCATGACATAGATCAGCAGCACTCACAACACCTGTGAATGTCTGTCAGTCCATGTTGGTAAAATAAAAAATAACAACTTGCACTTCCTCAGACCATTACGAATACTCATGCCAAGTGTGAAGATGATTTGCAAGATATGTATTCCACAGACAGATATTTGTGGAATTAGTTCAACCACTAAAATATGACCAGTTCATCTTTGAGTCCAAACAAACGTTTGTTCCAAATGTGAGGAAATTCTCCACAGGATGCTCCTGAAATTTCCAAGACCAAAAATGCATATTTTGTAAGGTCACAGTGACCTTGACCACCAAATTCTAATTAGTTCATCCCTGAGTCCAAGTAAACATTTGTAATAAATTTGAAGATACTCCCTCAAGGTCCTCTGGAGATATCGTGTCCACAAGCATGCCATGGACAACACAAAAACACCGATTAAAATCTGTTTCTTCCCCAGATTGTGTTTCCCTGTAGCCGTCTTTACCTGTGACTCCTAAATAGAGGTTACCAGTGGCTGTTGTGAATACCGCCCATGCCCTAAGGTGCACAACTGACATAGCATCACTGATATTTATGCAACTTATCCCACTCACCGACATATCGCACTCTTAAAATTGGTGACTGTCACACGTTTCTGTGTGACCTATTATTAGATTTTGATGAACCATCTTATTTTAACCTTCACAAGTTGTATCACATTTACAGTAGTCTAATTATAACCTGCTCTTATTTGTTTGTATTTAAGAGAAGATGATTCAATAAATATAAATGACAGTTTTTTTTATTTTTGATAAATTCATTATTATATAATCGAGTACTTAAAATCTTCTCATATGTTCCCAAATATGTTATGATCTTTAAACATTTTTAATTGTTTTATATTGTTTGTTCTCAATTTCTTATCGTTTTAGTTTTGTAAAGCACTTTGTAAATTTTTTTTATAAATTATTATTGATATGGCACCTTTCAAGATAACAATAATAATAATAATAATAATAAAAAAAAGAACTTTAAATTTCAAACATTTGAATCGTATTTTGAAAAGTTGTGGACTCACGGGTCATATTTGCAGTTGGGGGTAAAGGAGTGGTTTGCCTTGTGACCCAGAGAGGCACAGTATCTCTCAGTCTGGTCAAATGGCTGAGGGACATCGATCACAGTGTCTTCGTCCAGTGAGATGGTGTTTCCATTCAGGGCCCAGTCTCTGCTGTCGACCTGAGGAGTCCATGTTGTCAACAAAGACAGACATTTAGTTTAACTAGTAGAAATACTGAAAAAATTACCTAAAAACACTAAGGAGATGAATGGCACTCATAAGAGCTCTATCTTGCAATGTTAAAGAAAGTCAAAAAAACAATCCTGGAGGAGACCCTGATCTGCACCAAAATTGACTGGTTTCTTCCCTGACCAATACCAGATCCTTCCACCAAGCTTTGTGATAATCTATCCAATAGTTTTTAGTGTAATCTTGTATACAATGAAAAGAAAGACAGGGGTAAAAACATGACCTCTTTGGTGGATGTAATAAATATTTCAACTGATAACTCATAATTCTTTTGCTATTTCAACTTCTTTGCTTGCCAGGGAACTAGTACATTTACATTGATTCAATAAAGGGATATTTCTGCAATTGTAATTACCTTTTATTTTTCACATTAGTTCAGCGAATCCACAATCTTTTCATGTACCTCAAAGCAACTGCAGAGGTACTTGTACACAAGCAGATCTAACTAATAGAAGATATTTCTACACTTGCTCTGTGTCATACCTCAGAGTGTGTGATGCGTACTCCGTTATAAAAAGCCATCACAGTGTCCGTTTCAGCATCTGTCTTGGCAAACAAGCCCTGTCCTGCTCCTTTAATCATGGAGTCTGCCACAAACACCCTGACAAGTGAAAAACCATATGGTGACACTAAGAAGAACAGTCCTCAAATGTCCACAGTAATTATCAAGACAGGCACAGGTATAAAGCAGACGCACCTTTTGCTTTCATATGGGTCAGGAAGCAAAGTGTGAGTGGCAATACAGGTGGATGTGGACCTGTCATACGAGTACACAGGACCTTAAAAACAAGGGATGTCAGATTAACGTCTGTTTGTTTCCATAAACGCCTCCCTCCACTGAATAAAATATATTATAAGCCAGAACAATAGAGGGCAACTTGACTGAAATTGCAATGTGACTCACCCATATTCCAGCACATGTGATTACTACAAATTTAACACCATGATGTCACCATTAACAGCCTAAATATAGAAACTCAAATGACTAAAGGATTTTCTAAATGGTTGCCAGAACTGTATCATGATGTAAGTTGTTAAGTAAAAATAAACCTGGAAGGTGATGGTTTCAGACTCTGAAATGTGTGGATTTGCTGACATTCATCATCTTCCATCACAGTAAAGTAACCACCTGAGGTTTTATACTGTGGATAATTTCCTTTTAAAAATGTTCTTTACATATCATTTAGCTGACACTTTCATTCAAGGGACTTACAATAAGTGCATTCGACTGTGAGAGTACAAACCCAGAACACACGAATCATGTAAGTACATTGGCTTCAAGCCAAACTACAAAGTGCTGCATGTAAGTGCAACTACACTTGATTATTATTATTATTTTTTGACGATGGTTATTAGACCATCATCTTCTTAACCAAAGTGTAGTCGGAAGAGATGTTTTTTAGCCTTAGAAGCCTTAGAGGTAAAAGATGTGTAGACTTTCTGCTGTGCTGATGTTAGTGAGGAGTTCCACCATTAGGGAGCCAGGACAGCAGGAAAGAAAAGGAAGAAGAGAGACAGGTCTGTAGTTGTTAACTTCAGACGGGTTGAGGGTGGGATTCTTGAGGAGAGGGTTCACTCTTGCCTCTTTAAGAGAGTGAGGGAAACAGCCAGTTGACATGGTAGTGTTAATAAGATGGGTGAGAAAAGGAAGAAGGTCAGGAGCAATAGACTGGAGAATATGAGAAGGGATGGGGTCAAGGGGGCAGGTGGTTGGACAGGTGGAAGTTACCAGGGTAAGAACTTGATTGGGAGACAGGAGGGGGTGAAAGACGACAGAGTAGGGAATTAAGATATGGTTGATGGAAGGTACTTTCAGAAGGTGGGTTGCAGAATGAGGAGCGTATGTTATTTGTCCCCAGAGGCCAATTCAAATGTTCTTCTGCTTGAAAAACCAAAGTTCAATTGAGAAAATAATTGGCAGATGAATCAATAGCATGGCTTAGTCGTTCTCTCTCCTGCCTCTGGCAAAAAAACATCTTCATCAGAAACATAGATTCAAATGGGTAGACTATGTGGCTAAAGCAGGTCATAAAGATGATACGTGCACTGACTGTTTGGTGGAACTTCAAAGCATGGCTTTCCACTTTCACTGGAGATCAGGCTGGCAAGGCGAGCCTCAATGAGCTCGCTGTCCACAAAGCTTCCATAGAGAGCTGTGTGTCCGTCTGGGTAGATGTATGCTACAGATTCACCGGTCATCTCCCCCTCCTCATTCACCTTCCCAACCACACAGCCCCCATCCTGGAGACACCACAGTACACATCGACACACACAAAACAGAGTTATGTTCTTCTGATTTCCACGTGTGTAAATAATGAGCTGCTTTAATAAAGCTTTTAAAACCTATTCGTGCCATACAAAACTCCTGATGCTAAGATATCAAACATAACTGGGTGAAATCTCCATTCATGTAACCATAAACAGAATGTGATAGTGAAAAGTGAGCCGACTCACAGGGTAGTAGACCCAGCACTCCCCACAGCGGTTGTTGTCTTTGTACTGGCCCTTGAAAACCAGACAGCCCTCTCCATCAAACTCCTGAGCAAGCCCATTGAGCTCGCCATCCACATATGTTCCATTGAGAACACCGCCATCTTCATACGTGTACACGCCGTGGCCCTGAAGAGCATCATCTACATAGAAACCCTCCAGGGTACTGTGTGGAGGGGAAAGAGGAAAATGAACCTTCTAAAACCATCACGGAGGAGGATGCTTACATATGTAGGGATACCCTTTGTGGATAAAAGACAAAAATATTAGAAATATTGCTCATTTATATGCAACTTCGAAAAACAAGGTAGGATTGCAAAGTTTAACAAAGGTTGTAATGATGTGAGAGAAAAAACATTGGTTAAAGAAAAATTAAGATTATAATGTGAGACAAGCGGATTGTAATGTGCAAAGCTATGGTTTGTGACTGACTGCAGGCTCTGTCATCTCTGCTTCTCTTTGTCTGGCAAAGTGATGATTAATGAGAATGTAGATGTTTTTTTGGTAGTGAGCAGTTTATTAGGTACCCCACACTGGGTACTTCCACTAAACAGCCTTAGACCTTCATGACATAGATTGTACAAGATGTTGGAGAGATTCCATTCCATGTTGACATGACTGCATCCCATAATATTTGTCAGCTGCACTTTCATGCTGCCAATCCCCTGTTCTACCACATCCCAAAGGTTCTGCTAGTATACCTCTGGTGACTGGCGAGCGGGGTCACTGAACTTATTAAAATTTCATGAAACAAGTTTGAGATAATATAGTAAACTGTGGCTATAAATGGATGGACATGATAGGCAACAATACTCTTGTATTTGCAGAATTGCACGACTACAACATAGTTGGCTGATTGGATAATTATAGAATACAAAGGGTTCCTAATAATGCCCTCAGTGGGTTAACTTCTCCACTTCTGATAAAAAGGGGTGAACAGGAATTTCCTGAACCATTCTGTGTAAAGCATGTGTGGTTCCAGGTGCCTGCCGGATGGAGCTTTGAGACACAGCTACGGTTTGCAGTAGTATTAGCATGATACCAAAAGCTCACTGAGGTTCACTCATAACACAATACACAATTTCAACAGATGAGTCTGGCTGCCTTCATATATTTTCAACAGTCATAATGTCCACTGTGCCTTTTTCATGGAAGTAACCTGTGATTCGACCTGTGAGTTCTTAGGTTCAGCTGTCTGGAAGAAAACCAGTACCTACTGTACTTCAGCCACTGTCCTCAAACATGCCTGGTTATGGATTTATACATGATAAAAATCGAGTTAATCCATTTCACATGTGACAGCTGATAGAGAGACATACCAGATCATTTTCTACCAGGGATCCTGATTCTATGTCACAGTTTTGCAGAACATGCTTGCGTGCTTTATGAGTGTAGAGTAGACATCAAGATTCACATTTTTTTCTTTCTTATCTTTATGGTACCTTCCATCAAAGAAGAAGAACTTGCCCATGCCATTCTTCTCTCCATGGGTGAAGTGTCCCTCAAAACGATCACTGGATGAATAGGTCAAAGTGCAGAAACCATGGGGCTGACCATCGTCATCCAATGGACCTGCACATACACACTTAAAGTTAAGTCATTTGACTTCACAGCTGACCACTCTCCATTCTCCTACAACTCCACTAAGTCCTAAAAAAAATATCCCACTTAAGCAAAGGGCTGCTGAGAGTCATACAACCAAACTAGGATGCAATGGTTCATCACAATGAGGGAGCTGTTTCACATTACTGTCATCCAATATATTGTTAATATACAAATATGGATCAGTGCAGCTTTGCTTTCTTCTATGAATTCCCCTTTGTGGCAACTCTCAACTCTACATCTGTAAACTTAACTAACCCAGAGCTGCAGCTCATGGTTGTTTTCATATGCGCGTTCACTTCCTCACACATGAACAATACAGTGCTTGAATTGTGTATTAGCATGCTGCGTTGCTAACTGTGATGTGGAGTGCACGTGTAACAGACTGGGAAAACATACATCCACCTCTCATGCAGGCAGCGGGACACACACATGACCCGGGCCGCACTCTGCCGCCCGTCAAGCGGGTTCACTACTGAAATAAAGTCCCTGGCGCGGGCCTGCAGTACGACTGACGCGTGGAGATTTACGGAGAACTGACACGAGCAGCTGTGGGTGAAGGGAAATGTTGCACATGACCAGCATTCCTTTGAGTTCAATAGACAGAAAGAAGTACAAGTGAGAAGACGCTCACCTTCCACCAGCTCCTCTAGATTTTCCTCATCGCTGTCCATGCTGCGGGATGAGCTCACCAGCCCCGACTGAGTCACTGCACACACCCGAGCGTCCTTCACTGTAAAGCTGACACATATGTTGCATTCTGATTATTCCTTTCCTGTTTTAACTCGGCTCGATTAGATTTCCACTAAAAGTGACGTGACAACGTGACAGAAGTTCTGCGAGGGGAAGTTCTGCGTGGAGAAAACAAGAAGATATCGAACACTGACTGGCGAGGCAGCTGTCAAAACACAGACAGTGTTAGCATTAACAGTTCGATCAAGATGTACCAACATCAGAAAATGCAATGCACCACACATCGCAGTCTTACTGATGATATAGCATTACAGTTCAATTTCAGATTTATAGTTAAGTGCAATTAAAAAAAAAAATCCCTAATGAAAGCTTAAGATATTGTGAATGTCATTAAGCAAAATCATTTCAATGCAAGCATTCCCCAACCTGTGATGGTGACACCAAGGAAACATGCTCTGATGTATTGGTATGTCTGTGTACAGCTTTTCAAACTAATTCATAACTATATATGATAAAGTAAACATAATTTAACTGCTTTTGAAATGACATGCTCATATGCAGCACCCCAGACATGCAGGGTGCAGTGCAGGATGTTTACCTGGTGCAAAGGGCTAACTTCCACATTTATAGGAATGGGGACACATCAGACATAAGTAATAATCCTGACATCTCCTAACTCAGCCTTTGTGTTTGGAGGTGGTGGTGGACTTCTACCTGTTATTAAAGCAGACCTTGGTCAAGGAGAAGAGGCTTCTAAAATCATGCCATAAAGTTTATACTTAAATGGAATGCCAGACGTTTGATAGCTAATGGGCAGGAGTTTCAATGCCATCTTGACAAGTTAAAAACGAAACCAGAAATATTTTGCATTTAAGAAACTTGATTCAAGTCAAATCTGGATTTCATCCACATCCGTAAAAATAGCTGGGAAGTACTCAAAGGAAGCACTTTAGGGAGTGATCGCTATCCAGTATTGATAAATATAGGAGTAGAACTGGAAATAGTACAGGAAGAGATATAGTGGGAGTATGGAGCAAATTGGGTTAGGTGAAGACTAAAAAATCTTAGGTAGGGTAAAGTTATATCACACCATAGATGATCTCAAGATAGAAATATGCAGTGATATTGTAGAAGCTGCAAAAGAGTCAATTCCAAATAGTCGTAATGAAAGGAAAAAGAAAGTTACATGGTGGACAAAAGAATGTGCAAATGCAATAAAGAAAATCTAAATAAGGCATTCAAAGTATCGTAGAATACACATCATTTTCAAAATTTAGAAAGCAGGCCATTTCTGTGATAAAGCGAGGTAACAAGAGTTTTTGGAAGAAGTATTGTGACTCACTGTAGAGCTACATCACTATGGGGAAAGATTATGATAAGGAGAATGGCGGTCATAAAAATAAGAATAAATATAGGTTAATATCATTAAGATAAGGGAAACGCAAGCCCAAAGTATGTAGTGAAATATTGTACTCTGTAAGGGAGTACTGTCAGTCCAGTTTTGTTTTCAGTCAGTTTTTCAGTGACATTTTATTTATGTAGATTGGTCAGTTGGTGTGGCTTTATTTGCAGATGGAGTAATGTGGAAGGAGAAGGACTATGGAGTTTACAGTAAGAAAAAACACATGACCCCAAGAAGGGTGTTAATAAGATCTGATTCAAGTAGTGCAAGTAAAATTATATATAGTCAGATGGGTCTGGGTATCATCATATAATCTATGATTCCAGTTTAAACCAAAATCGAGAAATGAAAACCCCTCTCCAAAAATGTATTTTTCATTCATTTAGACATACCTGGTGCAGCACGCAATAGAAGTCCAACTAGATATATATATTGAATATTGTGTCATATTTCCCAATTAGTGATGAAACAGATCTAAAGTGTAAAATTTCCTCATAATAAAAAAAACACGACCAGCTCATTTTAAAGGTCCAGTGTGTAAGATTTAGGTGAATGGGATCTATTGGCAGAAATGTAATGTAGAATAATCCTCATGATGTTTTCACTAGTTTCATCTAAATTGTATGAATTGTAGTTTTCTTTACCCCAGAAAAGGTCCTTTATATTTAAATACTTTATATTTACATGGAGGGGACCCTCTCTACAGAGCCACCATGTTTTTTACATTAGTCCAGACTGGACAAACTAAACACCTTTTTCATGTTTGGAAGAAGAGGGTGAGGTGAGGGATGTTCAGCCTTTCACCAATTTCACCACTTGATAAATTCTACACACTGTACCTTAAAGTGTTAATGGCCATTCTCCTTCTTGAAGCTGTGACATTAGACCTACATACTGGACACATCATTCTGACACAGCAGTAATGATTATCATCCTTGCAATGGACTTTCTTATTATATATTTAATAACAGCAAAATGGTCATAGCCAATTATCAGCCTCCTGGACAGAGTCTAAAGGAGACTTACTCTGGGTCCTATTCTTCCATTTCTGTTTATTTGTACTGCTTTTGTGATTCATACAAAAACTTTAATATTTAACTGCACTTTACAAAACAGAGAAGATACAGCATAATGAAATTATAAGAAACTCAGATTAAAACGATACAGTGGTTAAATTCCCTGACTTTGGGAAAACTGGCTTGATTCTTCAAGACACTGAGTAATGACATTCACAGTTACCAGTGTTTGTCAGAGGAGTTTGGAATTAGAAAAGTCATTCAGACCTTACACTCCAGCTCAGAAAGAAGAAGAAGAAGAAGAAGAATTCTGTTTCTGTGGAGTCTCATATCACCCCCTGGTGGTTGGATGGGGGACCGAGCGGATGATGGTGAACTGGACACATCGGACAAAGCTGTGTGCATTTACTTCAACCTGTCACACTTTCTGACGACAGTCCACATTTCAGCGTTGTTGTTTCCCACGTCGCGAGGTGTGTGTCCAGACTGCACGATGCCGTTTGTTCGCTGCCGGTCGCTGTGCGCAGCCCCTGATGCCAAATAGTGAGTGTTAGCATGCTAGCAGCTCGGTGCTCGTGTTTGCGACAGGCTCTTCCGGTAGACCAGCGCAGCCACCATACCGGAAAGTGGAGATGCTGGGATATAGGCGGTGCATGCAATGGGAGTTGGGTGGTTTATGGATGAACGTCATCTTTACATTAGACGACGGTAGCACCGCAGTCTAAAGCGCTTCCATCACATTTGTCAAATAGTACATTGTGAGTGAATCTGTCACGAATCTTTATATCTCACATTAATGCAAAAATGAATGTAGAGATGATTTCCTGGAGTGTTTGGAAATTCACCTCCAAAAACCTAACATTTCATTTTGTGTAATGAACAGTGACGTCAGACCATTGATTGCATTGAAACCTCTTGATCGACACTGCTCAAACTACATGACTGGAACACTCAATCGTCACAGTACAACAGAAAGTCAGGTAAACTGCAGGGATGTCAGTCTGTCCATTTAGGAAGCACAAGTGATGTGAATCAGTTGCACCTGCTTTGATGCAAGTGACAACAGATGCAATGGAGAATAAAAATCAAGACAAGCACCAAAAGAAAATGGTTTTACATGTGGTGGCCTCAGACAGCTGCTCTCTCTTTATCCTTCCTGACTGATTCTTCTGTAGTGTTGTGTTCTGCTAGTGTCCTTGTCACTACTGGTAGCATGAGGCGGAACCTGCAGCCCGATCAGGTTGCACAGGTAGTCCAGCTCCTCCAGGAAGGTACATCCATACGTGTGGTCTCAAGAAGGTTTGGAGGAGATACCAGGAGACTGGCTGTTTAACAAGGACAGCTGGACATGGCTGGAGGGGCATCAACCCAGCAGCAGGACCGGTATTAGCTCCTTTGTGAGAGGAGGAACAGTAGGAGCACTGCCAGAGTCCTACAAAATGACCTCCAGGCTGCTGGTGTGCATGTTTCTGACCAAACTGTCAGAGGGCGGAGGCCATACACACTACTGAGTCACATGATGAGTTGCTGTGATGAAATTCACATAAATTGGATCAACCTGTGAATTACATGTTTTACTTTGAGTTTCGCTGTGGTTCTGAATCCAGCCATCAATGGGTTGACGATTTTGGTTTCCTTTGACAGTTGTGATTTTCATTTTGTTCTTGGTACAGATTTTGATTCTTGAATAATTTGTTCATCAAGATCTGATGAGTGTTCCTGTAATTTTTTTGAACAGTGTACATTCTCTGCTCCTGATCTTTCAGGAAACCTGTATCGTCGGGCTCTACCAGGTGTATCTTGTTCTGTAAACCCAGAACCCTGAACAGATCAAATGGTACTTCCTCAAAATTAACAGTGTTCCCAAGAACCGCAGCCCTGCATTCCACACAGGAAGACGAGAATTTTACCATGAGTTCAGATGAAGGTGAGACACACACATACTGTATATACACATACACATGGTCTGTGTTGAATTCAATTCATTTGAGTCAGTCCGTGTGCAGTGTTTGACTATTTCATGGCTGCAGGTGACCAGGCTGAGCTGGAAGAGAAGACGAGGCTCATCAACCAGGTTTTGGAGCTTCAGCACACTTTAGAAGGTATCATATGCACACACGCACACAATTGACAGAATCCTGTTTTCACCCAGTCAAATGTCAAATTGTCTGTCTACCAATCACAAGCAAAGACTCGAAAAGTTTTCATCTTAATATTCATTAGAGGTATTGACTTGGCAAATTGGCTGCAAAAATAACTGAGATGAAATTTCTTCTACAAGACATAAAATGCTAGTCACACCCAGACTGTTGAAACTGCAGAACCAACCATGGTGTGATAACATCAAGTCACTCTGACTGATGATGTCTTGTGATTTTTTTTATTTTTTTTTCACTTCAAATTGATATTACTGTGGTGATCTCTGTACTTCATCCAGCCGTCAGCTTACTCTTTAGGGTTTGTTGTCACCAGAGCAATGACCGAGGCTGAACGTGAACATCACCCGACCATCTGCAGATAACGGAGAGGATGCTTGGTTTTGTAGATAAATCACATCTTTCTTTTAAATTGATCGACGTACATGAAACAAAACATGTACAAATTCACACAAGCAGATACATACAGCTGCAGCAGCTGTTAATGCAATAAAAGAGGTTAACCTTTTGCTGCACCCTCAGAATTTAGACCAACCAGAGGAGGTACTTCACAGTTAACCACTTATTTATTAAGCATTTATGTTGACGTATACATGCATAGCTCATAAAATCAATAAATGCTTCATTTACAGTGAT